AATAATTTCATCAGTTCTCAATAGCATGTCCATTTGTCTTTTTCCTGAGCAGGAAATCTGAGAAAGAGATGGGAAATAGAATTAAGAGACAGATAAGAGGGGAAGAGGCAAGGAAGTGACAACATTGATATTTTCACAACCCCAGCGGCCAGCAAAATTTTACTTCGACAATATTGAGGAAACAGTGGAAATATAAGAAAAGGTATTTCCATTTTGTCTATTCCTTCGACAGGAAAGGTGACGACTGACGACTAAGATGGACATAACTCCAAAATCCAAAATTTTAATCATAAACTCCTAATTCTTACATTTTCACTAAGTGTTGCTTCCCAGTGCATCTTTCCAATGTGAAAGGGGAAAGCTAAAATTTTATCTTTCAAAGTATCATGCAGAGTAATATTTTTGAAGAACTCAGTGCCTTAGCATTGGTATAGCAACATATTTCAGTAACCATAATAAAAATATTGAAATGTTCTGCAATGTAGGAGAGAGGAAATCTTGTTTACATTAACTCTCCAGAATGTACAGTAAAAGACAATAATTACTCTACAAGTTTCTTTTGTCTGGAGGAGTGTTGAAAACCTGAAAGACTTGTAAATAAAAATTCAAACCTTAACCAGCTCTACATTGTCCTAGCTGCAACTACAAGCTACAGGAATCCTCATTGCTATGCTCGCTACTTCTAACTGATGAATCCCCAAAGTAAGAAGATCGAGAAGAGATAGTGGAAGCTGATATGGAAATTAAGGAACATTTGTTCCATAATTCTTTTTTGGGGAACGTAATGTTCCTCCTATGTGAAACAGCATTTGAGCAGGTGTTCTTCTGTTTGTGCAGTGCACATGTGCAATTGCGATGATATGGCCTCCGCTCAATATCCATGTCACACATTGATAAACTTCCCTCAAATGCACACTGAAACATCAGGTTAGCTGCTTGGGTGGCCATTCTCTCCTCTCTCTATTTGCTTGTCTCCTAAATTTCTAATTTGTTTCAAAGTTTGTGTGTTCTGTGAATTGTGTTTATTAAAGTGAGGAGAATTAGTTGAAAATGTGGCATGTTTTATGAAGGGTTTATATAGAGCAAAGAGTTAATCTTCTATGATTAGAGCAATGGTAGTGTAGGAGAAAACTAGATTCAGAAGGCTTTTAGCGTTGAACTCAAGAGAAGCTTTGTTTGGAGTTGTTTTTGCTACTAGTAGCTTTGCTCTTTGTTAGAAATAAGCTATTTTTCCTAGGGAAGTCTTTATTCCTAGTTGTGGGGCCTGAAAGAGAATAAAAAATAACAGAAAAGATGCTGGGGAAGTGAAGTTCTGGAATTACAAGGAAACCTAGGTAAAGGCTTTTAGCCTTCCTTTGTTTGCACCTTTTAGTATATTCTTGTAGCATAGTTTTTTCCGGTGCATGGAATGTTTGCCATTTTGTCATAATGCAAGCGGTGGGAAAACTAATTTTTACATATTAAAGGAGCTTGTTTATTTTGACGTCTATTATTTCTTTTAAGTATGCTGGTGATACATGTGTAGAAATTCAGAAACAAAATAGGTTTCAAAGTATTTAAAAAGAAAATATTCTTACATGGATCAATATCACAGTGCCTTCTTGTACAAGAGTTTCTAGAGTATAATTTTTCTTTTAAATGATGTATTTAAAAGTCAGTAATCTTCTTGACAATAAATTTATCGCCCAAGAAAAAATAATTCCTTCAGTTTCCTACTCATTGTTCTTCAAGATTCTATAGAGAATTTGTTCTTCCTCTAAAACCATGGAATCTCTTCTGAGAACAGTATATGTCAATGAAGTTAGTTTGGATCTTTTCCATGCAACTCTGAAATTTGTGATGTAGTCGTATTGGTATTGTATCACATATGTTCATTTTTTGTTTCCAATATGATTGTCCTTTCAACTACATCTCCAAAGAGGCACTTGACACAAGAAGAGTCAAAATTTTTTGTCCCCTTGGCTTTCTATCACTATTTTTTTGACACTTGAGCACATCACTTCTTCGTAGCAAATGATCGGAAGATGCCAAGGAGTAACATGTCGAGGTATCGAAAATGTATTGAAATCTTCCCATCTTCTATTAAGAGGTGATGTGTTGAGCTATCAAAAATGTAGATGGCCAAGGGGACAGCAAATCTGAACTCCACAAAGAGTGCTTTCTTGAATTAGTAAACATTGCATGATCTTAATCTTATTTTACTCTATTAGCAGAGACTTTTCGTCACAGCTTTAATTCTCCCAATCTTTGGTTCATCTTGTCATAATACTTCCGCTTAAATTCGGTTGAGTTGTCCGTGTGTGCCACTTCTTTTATATACAGTTTGATGGTACCTCGTTTTTAATAACTTATGCATCCCTCAACACTGGGAAAACTGTNNNNCATCCCTCAACACTGGGAAAACTGTAGTTCGTTGTATATGGAATTGTAAATGCTTATAGATTTTCAGACTCAAGCAGTAAAGTTTATTTTCACAGTTTTTGCATTCTTGGTTAATTTGCTATTTCTGGATATTTATGGCAACTTACTTCATAAACCACACCTGGGAGTTCTGCATTGTATGCTTACCAAAAAAAAATTCTTTGCACGTAGGTGAATTTTTTTCAGTAAATAGAATCTTGATTTCAAGTGTCATGTCACTGGATCATAGACCCGTTTAAGTAAATTATTAGATAGTTCTATTGTTTTATAATCCTTTCTTTTGTCTATATATCTGAACCTGTGTCCCTTTTTACCGGCTCTGGATTTCTCAAATTTTTTATTAAACTAAAGACCAAGGTCCCTGACGCCTAATAAATTAAGGTCCTCATTATTAATTAATTATTGAATGAATAGAAGGCTTCTGATACTATTGATATTGCTGTACTCTTTGTAATAAAAAATAACTTCTGCAATCATTTTGAGGATAATATATAGTGCATGTTTGGTATATGATGCTAAGCAATATGAGGAATAAGATATTTACTTATTTTCTTTTTTGATATTGTTCCCTGCTATCAAATCTTCCCAATCAATATGCAAATAATGTGTAGTATTAACCCGTTGTGCAAATATCTGTATAAAGTTTTGGTGGGACTTGTTAGCTTCTGACTTTCGTGTAACGCCTGAATGAATATGTCTGGAACTCTTTCTTTGTTATGCTTGTAAATGAAACTGTCCGTTTGCCACATTTATTATGCAAGATCAATGGATTTCATCTGCTCCCACTGGAGGAAAATCTGCTTATCATATTGCAAAACTCTCAGGACTTCATTAATTGCTAAATTGTACAACACTTCAAAAGAATAGGAAGAAAATAAGGTAAAATTTTGTGTTATTCTGTATACTATTGTCTAGTACATCATATAAGAACTGTCATCAGTTGTCAACCAATATTTTGTGAATAATGAAAAGCTCGAATCTCAATGTTTCGTGTAAAACAAAATCACATGCCTTGTTGAGCATGTCCTGCTGTTTTTTTTTTGGCTGGGAATATTTT